CCTCCTCCTTCTCCTCCTCCTCCTCCTCCTCCTCCTCCTCCTCCTCCTCCTCCTCCTCCTCCTCCTCCCAAACTAACGGTGAGAAGCCTGTTCTTAGCGTGTCGCGGCGGCGGCCCTGGCGACGCGCTATGCCTTGCGAGCGGATAACGTGTCCATCCGCCCCCAGGGGCGGAAGACTGGGAAAGGCTCGGGACGTTGACGCTCGGGGACTGGGACATGATTATCATGTCGCGCCGCAGCGTGGTGGGCCAGAACCGGCGGCGCGACACGATATGCAAACGTTCTTGACCGTAGACCAGCGCAGGCACCAGCACAGCCCAGTCCTCAGCATCACGTCTTCTGACCAGTGCACACCTGGAGAACACGTCAAGACCGCTATTAACCGATTGGCCGTCTGAATGCCCAAAAATAGTACACGCTGCCACGACCTTTGGCAACCATGCAGCTGCAACCGCAGACCCCGTACACACCCCACCCTCAGTGGCAAAGACCCCGCAGTAGGCCAATGGCGCACGGAACCCAAGAAACGCGACCTGGCTCACATGCGCCGGACCATTGCCACGGCTCTCTGGGACGGACCAGATGTTGTCCGGAACAGCACGACGACAGCGGATGTTGCCGACCTCAGTTTCAGCAATTCGTGGAAACATACTCCTTATTGCCACTGACAAACAAGCACATGGAATGCCAGGAGTTCCAGGCGCACGCCGCAAAGGCCACAATGGACTCCCCGACCCACAACAGCAACCTGATGACAGCAGCAGATCTAGGAGAGAGCGTGATCCACCGCCGCTTTGCTGTGGAAAATTCCCCCCCTCTTTCCTCCGGAACCCAGGGGTCCAGCCCCCCGAAAATCGCCCCCCCCCCCCCCCCCTGCTCGAACACCCCCCCCCCCCCCTTCCCCTGGCAAGACCCCCCCCCCACCCCCTCCTCCGGAAAACCAGGAGGGGTCACCACCGGGTCGAACCCCCCCAGCCTCTCTGGAAAACCGGGGAGGGCCATTACCAGTTCGAACACTCCCCTTTGGAAAACCGCCTGGAAAACCGCGGGGGGTCAGTCCGGTTCGAACCCCGCCCCTCCCACTCGCCACCGGCAAACGACTTCCTGGCCCCCACCACCGTCCTCACCACCGCCCTCACCACTGTCCCCACAACCACCGTCCCCACCACCGTCCCACTGTCCCCACCACTGTCCCACTGCCCCCACTGTTACCACCACTGTCCCCAGTGTTCCCACCAGTACCCCCACCACTGTCGCATTGTCCCCCCTGTCCCCACCACTGTTCCCACCACGGTCCCACTCTCCCCGTTGTCCGCACCACTGTCCCCACCACTGTCCCCACCGCTGTCCCACTGTGTTGTCCCACTGTCCCCACTATTACCACCACTGTCCCACTGTCCCCACCACTGTCCCCACTGTACCAGTGTCCCATTGTCCCATCATCGTCCTCACCACCGCCCTCACCACTGTCCCCACCACCACCCCACCACCGTCCCACTGTCCTCACTGTCCCCACCACTGTCCCACTGTCCCCTCGCCACTGTCCCCACCACTGTCGTACTGTCCCCGCTGTCCCCACCACTGTCCCACTGTTTCCACCACTGTTCCCAGCAGTGCCCCCACCACTGTCGCACTGTCCCCACTGTCCCCACCAAGGTCCTACTATCCCACTACTGTCCCCACCACTGTCCCACTCTCCCCATTGTCCCCACCATTGTCCTACTGTCCCCACTGTCCCCACCGCTGTCCCACTGTGCTGTCCCACTGTCCCCACCACTGCCCCACTGTCCCTGCCAGTCTCCCCATTTTACCACTCCATTGTCCCATGATCGTCCTCACCACCGCCCTCACCACTGTCCCCACCACCACCGTCCCCACCACTGTCTCCACTGTCCCCACCACTGTCTCACTGTCCCCTCGCCACTGTCCCCACTACCACCGTCCCCACCACGCCCCACTGTCCCCACCACTGTCCCACTGTCCCCACTGCCCCCACCACTGTCCCCACCAGTGCCCCCACCACTGTCACACTGCCCCCACTGTCCCCACTACTGTCCCGACCACGGTCCCACTCTCCCCACTGTCCCCACCATTGTCCCACTGTCCCCACTCCCCACCACCATCCCCACCACCGTCCCAACCACTGTCCCCACCACAGTCCCCCATCTGGAGTGGGGGAGGAGGGGGAGTCATTTGCCGGCGGCGAGGAGGGGGGGGGCGTTCGAACCGGTGGTGACCCCCCTCCCTTTTCATGATGGACCAGGGGGAGGGGGGTTGGAACCCCCAGTGACCCCCCCGGTTTTCGAGGGGAACCCCGAGTGGCCCCCCCTGGCTTTCTGCAAGCGGCGGCAGAACACGCTCTTTCAGATGTAGCTTGGCCTAGCCTGAGCAGGCACCACGTCCTGCACCACAAACTGAACCCACCGATGTTTCTCCACAAGCCGAGCTCTTGGCCACCCCTTGAACAGTGCTGCGTGCAAGCGGACGGCCGGCACGAGCACTCATACCGCATTGCCCAGCGATGGGACGGGCCTAGGATGCAACGCGCACGCGTCCAAGGTAAGCGTAAAGCAGTCTTACACGTCCGACGCCGTCGGGGTCAAGGGGGTCAAGGAACGCCAAGCGGCTCAGCAAGATGCAAACTCCTTTTTCAATTCGTCCGTCCCTTTCTTGTAACGTTGACACAGGTCATCCCGCGCAGTCGGAGCGATTTGACTTACAGGCCATGCATGCGCGCACACACACACACATACACACACACACACACCGCAGAGACTTCATGCCCGACTCACTGCTTTCACTCTGACCAGATGCGGACGGACCCGTCTTCCCAGTGCCACCGTGACCCACGATTGGCAGTATTAGATTTGGTTTCCACGCTATGTTAGCATCCATGGTTACTATTTCTTGACAGGTTCCAGCAATGCACGGTGCTACCATGAAAGCAGATACATTTCGAGCGCGGCACTGCGTCTACGTCAACGTATCTTTCGACGACTCTCCCACGGTTCCGAATCAGCTGGTGCATACAGCATTCCATATTTTCACGTACGCCACCGACGCCATCATTGATCCAGTATCCCGACCGCTTTGTGTTCGTCACCGCAGTTGTCTGCCGCCCCCGACAAGTAATCAGCTACGCGGAATGAGAATCACCGAAACACGCATTCAAATGAAATTGTTTGGAATTCTCCGTTGTCCAGCGCGAACGACGACGCGTTGAAGCACCGCCATGCGTCCTCAGGCAGGCGCACTCCTCGCCAGTGTGTCTGACATTGTCAGAGACAAGTGAGTGGCTAATTGGTTCGATGCCCTTCTCTTTCTCTCACCAACTATAGGTCTCTCACATGGGGCCCGACTGTAGATGGATTCGGAGGATCGCGCCGCATCGGCGATGCATCGGCGATACGGCCCAATTTGGAGCCCGAGTCTCTCCATCCATGCCGACGTCGCCGATGCATCGGCGGTGCATCAGCTATGCGGGTCGATCCTCCGACCCAACTACTCGGAACCCGTTTGGGAGGCCTCCAATGGTTGATCGTCTCGATTTCCTCCTCTTCCTCACAATCCCGCCTCCCTTCTCTATCATCCCTTCCCCCCCCCGAGAGAGCACATGATCATCAACCTCAGCATCAACATAATCATCAGCAGCAGCAGCATCATCATGGTCATCAGCATGGTCATCATCGCCCAGCACGTCCTGGAGCTCTAAGGTCCAACGTCTGCAGGCATCTGTGCAGCGGGAGCTCGCGGCTGACTTCCGATTGGGCCTCGGCATGTCTTGGCATCGCTCGGACGTGTGCATTTTGTCTCGGCGAAATCCATCGAGGACCATCCTGGACCATCGAGCAGAAAAAAACACGCACGAAACCGAAAAATGCACGGGAAATGGACGTCCGAGCGACGGCAAGATGTGAGTGACGGCCCCGTCGGGCAAACGCGAATCCCCCGAACCCGAATCCTCCAATCTCCACCAAGGCTTGTGGTCGAAGGCTCGCGCCCGCATCGCTGCCGCATCGGCGGCGCGGCTCGTCGCGGATAGCCCGCCGCTCTGCACGGCGGCGGCGCCGAGGCGCCGCCGACGTCGCCGCTGCATCGGGGATGCATTGGCGACGCGGCGCGATCCTGTCCGACCCCACCCGCGGCAGGTTTGCGGCGCGATTTTCCGACCCCCCCCCCCAATGGCGTGACGCGCTTTGTTTTTCTGCGTCACAGTCGTGCTGCGCTCGGCTGTTCCGCGTCGCAGTCGTGAGGCATTCCGCTTCTGCCTCGCGGTCGAGTTCGTGCGTGCACGCAGCCGCTCCGTAATGTCTTTTCAGTCATACTTTTTCTGAAGAGTTGCCAATTGCGCACTCTTCTGCCCACGCGTCCCTCCGGACGCTCGGCTCAGTGGTGATGGTGACTCGCCGCGACCCCGCCGCGGGCGTCCAAGGTTGAACGCCGCCAGTGGCCTGGAGTCGGCCCAGTATGGAACGATCTGGCGATCGAGAAGCCGCCGATCGTTCAAGGTTGAACAGTCCACGCGGTGTCAGAAACCAACGCTGGGGTCGTCACGACACGAACCCGCCGCACTCGGACCCCGTTCGGGAGGCCCCCATACGCAGCGTGCGGGCACGTGTGCGCGCCCTTCGTGGACCAAAACAAAGCGCCTGCGCGGAGCGGCCGCCTGCCGACAACGAGGCTTTCCCGGATCTCTTGCTCGAAGGGAGTGCCGCCCCAGAATCGAAACCCAGCGGGCGGTGCGAAGGGAGGGGTGCTTCTCGCCAGAGGGGGGGCATGGAGGAGGAAGCGGAGGAGGAGGTGGAGGTGGAGGAGGAGGAGGAGGAGGAGGAGGAGGAGGAGGAGGAGGAGGAGGAGTAGGAGGAGAGGAGGGGCATGGAGGAGGAAGTGGAGGAGGAGGAGGAGGAGGAGGAGGGGAGGAGGTGGAGGAGGAAGTGGAGGGAGGAGGAGGAGGGGAGGAAGCAGTAAGGAGAGAGGGCATTGTGACCTTAAAAAAAAGTTGGCGAGCTCTGCTGCCGCCCGGGATCCTGAACCCCCTAGGCGTCCCCGCGAGGCCCAGGCAGGTCTCCAGAGGCTTCTGGAGGCTCATAGACGCGGCAGGCTGTTAACATAAACTAAACAAGTCCTCGATCTCCGGGCGCCGAGCAAAACTTCGCACCTGCGGCGGCAAAGTCGCCAAAAAGTTGCCGCCGGCCAGGACCCGCGAACGGCTACTTCGCGTATTGCTACCGCTGCCGCGAGTGGCTCGACTTCTCCTCCGCCTTACGGCGCCGCGCCGAGCTCTCCGAGTCGCCCTCCCCCCTTCCCCCCACCACCGCCCCGGAGGGAGGGACGGAGGAGGTGAGGCCCGGCCCCTCCGCCTCCTCCTCCTCCTCCTCCTCCTCCCCGTCCTCCTCCTCCTCCTCCTCCTCCTCCTCCTCCTCCTCCTCCTCCTCCTCCTCCTCCTCCTCCTCCTTCCTCTTCCTCTTCCTTTCCTCCTCCTCCTCCTCCTTTTCCTCCTCCTCCTCCTTCTCCTCATCCTCGTCCTCGTCCTCCGCTCCACCTCCTCCTCCTCCTCCTCCTCCTCCTCCCCTCCTCCTCTCCTCCTCCTCCTCCTCCTCCTCCTCCTCTTCCTCTTCCTTTTCCTCCTCCTCCTTTTCCTCCTCCTCCTCCTTCTCCTCATCCTCGTCCTCGTCCTTGTCCTCGTCCTCGTCCATCCTTTTCCCTTTAAGTCGGGCCTGTCCTTCTACAGGGGGAGTATTGAATTTGTCGCCCAAAATCCGCCTGTAGGGGGACTTGCCCGACCTAAGGGTGGTCCCTCTGGTCGCATTAATGCGGAAAGCCCGTTTTGTAGGAACCCTGGTCTGTTATGCACGATGGGCCTTGTCTATCAGCGGCGTTTGAGTACTCCCGTATATGATGAAGGGGTGTCACCAGCTAGTTGGCGCGCTGGCTAAGCGCCTGACTGCTGGCAGCGAGAGTTGTCTCATGGTCCTCTTGTTGCTGGTGAGTGGTCGCAGTGAAGTGCTGGGTGAGGGCGTTTTTCCTGTCAGTACGATACTCCGCGGCCAGTCCGGCGCCAGCACCCTGGTGGGTGGTGGTATTAGGGCCCTTGGTCCCCGTTCCCCGGTGGGGCGGGGGGGGGGCCTGGTGGCAGGACGCGTTGCGCTGGGGGGGGGCGCAGTAGCATTGGCTGGTGAGCAGGTTGATCTCCATTTTGGAGAGCTCCGTCTTGGACTATATTGCACGTATGTGGCTGAGAGGGAGCGTGCGGTGCCGTTGATCGCAGATGGCGAGGGCCGTAGTTTGTAAGACGGCGGCGAATGTGTGGCGCCATGTGGCAGCGTCGGCAACAATCTAGTGGGACGATGTGAGGCCTAGCCCCCGCGTTGGCGAGTTCGTCAGCATGTCGGTCGACAGCTTCCGCGATGGGCGAGGCGCGGCCGTAGTGCATACCTTGCTCCTCGAGGTGGCTTCCGACTTTCTTGATTAAAATATACATTGGGTTTGGCTTGGCGCGCCCGATGGATTTGATACCACAGGTTGGATGACGGACCGATGCGTTGAGGCGGTTTACCCTGGAGGAGGTCTTCGAACCCTCCCACCACAACTTCGTTGTCCACGAAGACGTGCACGGGCCTTTCAGCAGCGGCCATTCGGGGCAGCATGGCGAGAGTTCCAGCACGTTGCGCGGATTGTGCGAGGCTGCGCACTCGCGCGGAGCGGTTGAGCTCGTAGTCCGGCCCGCAGTACGCCCCGAACCCCACCATGGCTAGGATGGGGTCGGCTCGGTTAAAGCACGCACCGTCGGTGGCGGCGTAGACTAGAATTCAAAAACCAGTTTTCTGAATTCATAAACCAATTTCTTGAATTCACAAACCAGCGCCGCATTCACCGGTGTAGTCTTGGTAGTCCTCGTCGTCGTCGGCGTTCCCTCTGAGGCTGTCTGGGGATGGGCTGCGGGAGTTCGTCCTCCGCCAGGGTGGCCTGAAGGTCGAGCAGGGTGGAGTCCTCTTCCAGGAGGCAACAGTGCCTGGCACGCGGTGGGAGATCCTGTCACCGTTTCTCGGTAGTCCTCTTAGCCCAGCAGTGGCATCTCCAGATGGTGTGCTCCTGGGTCTGGGTTCCTTCTCCTCGGTCGCACTACCAGCACAGGGGGGATGGGTCAGCCGAGATACCGGCTTTGATTTTCCTCTGTTGGGCGCGGTCATTTCCGCTGAAATATTTGCGGGGCCCGAGCTGCCATTCCGTGAAATTGGCTTTGCCTTTGGCCCTGAGGAGCCAAGCGTAGGCAAAATAATCGAGACTTTGCTCGACGGCGGCGACGGCTCCCAGATGGCGCCGGGCTTTAAGGGGATGCGCCGGAGGAAAGCTCTCCGCTGCGAGGCGCGGAGCACGCGGGCGTAAAGGTCGGCTGGCTCGTGGACCCACGGGTCGGCAGTCGTCGGGCGACACAGTCGTCGCACACGGTGCGAAATTCGGGCCATGCCCAGTCGAGTTGGGCCATGGTTTGCCAGACTCTGCCGGAGGAGACCACCCCCTTGCAAGGATTGCGCACGGTCGTGAATCGACTCGGCCACTGCTTTGAAACCGGCGCCCCGCAGCAGCTGCCTCCGCGCAGGGCCGGTCTGAGACAGATATCTACGACGAGGATGTCAAACCACATTTGTTTGTCAAGAGCGCCACCAGTTAGCGGCATCCGGCGATGTTGCGCGCATTCGACTTGCAGGGCGAGCACGGCATCGGCGCCGGTGACGGCGGCGCACGGGACAGCTCCGAAGCTGGCGGGGCGCGTTCAGCGGGCTTTCCAGGAGGCCAGGCAGCGGCGCGCCGGTGGGGGGGCTCGCCCTTGCCTCTCCGCGGGCAAGTGTTAGCAGTTAGGGGCATGCAGCAGTGGCTTTGCACTGCATGGCTCTAGGCGCCCTTGCGAAGAGGCGCAGAATACCGTCGGGGGGCGTTTTAGCTTCTTTGGCGGCCCATCCGTCGAGCCCGCCCGCTCTCGCAGCGGGTCTCGCCCACATGAAATGGATAGGTCTTCGTCTGCGAGGGCGAGGGGCGCGGCGGATGCCGGCTCGGGGAGCTCGGGGTGGCACTCAGCTTCGAAGTCTTCACAGGCGGGCGCAATCTCGTGAGAGAGGCCCTCGGCGGCACGGCACCTGCCATGGATGGGCCCCCCGCTTTCGGCCACGAGCTTGATCTTGACGCTAGTGTCCGCGAGGATCGCGTTAGGCCCGTCACGGGCTTGGGCGCCGTCGCTTTCACTGTCACTGTCCGCATCAGGGTCATTGGGCGCAGCGGTGGAACAGTTTCCTGGCCCGGCGGGTCGCCCCCCCCGCGCCGGGCTTCCGCGGATAGCCGGCAGCGCGCGGAGGGGGGCCCATCGCGGGGGCGCGGGGAGGTAGACGACACTGGAGTCGCCCACTGCTTTACCCAGTGGTTTCTGGCTCCACCCCCGCCCTCGGCCCGCGCTCTGTCTTTCCAATCGCGGATGCGGATCGCAGGTACGAGGCGTCGCATCTGCGCGGCCGCGGCGACGATGAGTTTGTCGAGTCGAATGTCGTTTGGGCGCTCATCACGGCCCCAGACGCGGGGAAACTCTGCGGGGCTGGCAGGGCGAAACCTTGCTGCAGTGACGCATGCGGCAACCCAGTTGCGCTCGATACTGGCACGATAAGCGGGGTAATTGCCACTGCGTTCGGTCGCGCAGCGGTGGTGGGCCACCAGCCCCTCCCGATGTCTCTCAGTTGCCTAGAGAGTTCGACAAGGTCATTCATAGCGCGGCGCGAAGAGCCGCGCCCGGCCTGACCAACAGAGCCAGCGACCCATCTTTGAACACAGGGGCTCCACCATGCCTAGTGGCACGCTTGTTTTATCCATCAGATGGACATCTGGTGGTAAGCTTAGAGAGTGGTATTCGTGAGCAGCGTGTTAGCCAATGTCGAATGTCTTGTCCACATTGTCAGCCTCGCCAGCGGCTACCACTCGCGAGCGGTAAGCGTGGTCGATGGAGTCATCCAGGGCGCATTGTTCGTTACTGTTTGTAGTTGTGTTGGTCAGTAGGTATGGGAGGACAGCCAGAAGTCTGCTCGCTGGCTGTCCGGCGACGCCTGGGCGGACAGAGACAAGGAGACCTAGGTGCTGTTTGCTGGAAAAGTCGCAATGCAGGACGAAGCTGGCGACGAGCTGCCTGGTGTCGGTGAGCACGCAGTCTATTCGGGCCCCCCCAGCCCCTGGCATTCTTCTGTCCGATTCGAGGTTTTGGCCGAAATACCGGTTTTTCTTCGCCGGGATGTCTTGGCGCCACGGCAAACCAGCCTAGGTTGAATATTCGATGTCGCTTCGCGCGCCCGCGCAGGTGAAGCACGGCGCGTCGTCGACCCTGTCGCCCCCCAAAATTCGCGGGCAAGGGAAGCAGCGCCCGCGCCAGATTTAGTAGCGTGGACAGACGCAACGTAGATGCCGTCGACGCCGTTACTGTTGCAGGCCCCCCGCTTCGGCGTTCGCCCGGAGGCGCGCATGTCAAGGATGAGCAAGACGGCTTCGGTCCATCACGCGGTCGCGAGGAGGGCATTCACACCGGGGTCGCCCTGCGCGGTGTCAAGGAGGGCTCTTTGGCCAGCGATGCAGACGCAGCCATGTCTGGCAGCCGTGGATCAGACCCTGCGGTCGGCCCCCCCGCCGGGGTCGCGCCCCCACACAGGGCCCCAGGCACCGTTTCGTGGACGCGGCCAGTTGGGTGCCGGGCGCCCCGGAGAGCGACGACGGCGGCGCCGCAGTGTCTTCGGGGGTTGCTCAAGACCCCTGAGTTGGCACCCAGGCTGGTGACGTCGCCGGTCGCGAGGTGGGCCATCCGAGGGCCATCACCGTGAGTGGAGCTAGGGTCGCCTCGAGTCTCACGGTGTGTCCAGCGAGCGCGGACGGCACCATTATGATGAGCGGGGCACACGCCCAGACAGACACGCGCCAGGGACCCCCGAAGATCGCGCCATGGAGGGGGAGAAGGAAAGCACCCCCGCACAGAACTCCCTGAACCAAGTCCCGGCAAGAGCCTGGAGGACGAGGAGTGGGATAACACGGCAGTGGCGACGACCGACCCGGCAACGGTGGCAGGGGGTGACACGGGGGCGGTTGGGAGGCGCCGCCGTCGTCAACACCGCGCGCGGGATCGCCGCGCCTGTCCCCGCACGCGGACGAGGCGGCCGCGGCAGGTCCCGACCTCGGGCCCACCTCATCCTGAGCCTCACTGTCCGTCTTGTCCAGCTAGTCGACGATGCCGTCGAGTTGGTCG